CAAGCAGTAGGATCTTCACAAGTCATTTACTTTGCTGCTTATCATTGTCTGTAACAGAACTGAGTTCATAAACAAAGAGCTGCATTGACAGCAGACATGTTGCTAATGTAGATTTTAAAAATCATGTTACTTCTAACATCTATTTTCAAAGAGATAAATATCGGTTAAGGAAGCAGAAAAAGCAACTGCAAGAATTCACAAAGAGTGCCATGTAGACATGGGACATTTTTGTAAAAGTATCACAGAATCATGAGAGGCAGCATAGAATAATTGAGAGAGAGCTGGCCTTGGCATTAGGAAGACCTGGGTTGAATTCTCACCTCTAATCTCTAACACATATTCACTGTATAACCCTGAGCAAATCACTTAATCTCTCCATGGCCCAGGCAACTCTTTAAGACCTTGAGTAGAAAAGAAGATGCTGATATGCACTAGGGGAGGGAATTCTTCACCTGGAGCTCCATACTGGAAATTATAGATCTAGTAAAAATTATATTATATATTTTATATATACATAAATATGTACATATGCATATGTGCATATGTATGTAATAGAATATTATAGCAGGAAAGGACTTCAGAGATCAAATAATCCCTTGATTTTAGAGTTATGGACACTGAGATCCAGAAAGGTCAAGTAATTTTCTTAATGTCACACAGCTAGCTAACAGCACAGAAAAGACTCTACTCCATTACTCTGCAGTAGGTACAAGATTTAGAAAAGGAATTTCAAGTCTAAGATTTGGTGAAATATCAAAGGGCACACAAAAATTGCTAATTTTTCACATGATATAAAATAACAGGAGGTCTGTGCAATTGATGATCCTGCTTTATTGATAATAAATGGCATGATATGCCTTTTTACTTATCACTTATATAATATTATTAATTTCATAATAATAATATTATTTGTATTCATTCACTTACATAAAGAAGTGCCAACTATATTTTCTACTCTTCGCTGCAGATATAAGGTAATTTACTATGGCTGAAGCACCATGTAGTAGAATGAGTACTGGACTGGTATATAGGAGACCTGGATTTTCAACCTGGTTCCTCCATTCCACACTAGCTGTGTGACCTTAAGCAAGTTACATGACCTTCTGGTCCTCAGTTTCCTGCTTTGTAAAGAGAGGCGGTTGGACTAGGCGATTTCTAAAGTTCCTTCCAATACTTTCCCAAAGTAATGCTCTATGAATATATGATTTACGGGCTTTAATTAGGCTTAAAGCTTCATTCATAATTAAAAATTACAGTCTCAGTCAGGGACTAATTGGCTAATTATAGTCATTAGCCTGGAAATTAAATCTGAATGATTGTTTATGTATAAAACCTTTCCAAAATCAGATTCACTCTTTCCCTCGCCTTGAATTTGACAGTGGGGGTGTAGTGAAAAGATTCCAACTTGGAGTCAGCAGAGAAATGGGTTTGAATCCCGCCTCTGACACTAGCAGTGTGACCAAAGACAAGCTCTTGAACTTCTCTAGTCAAATGGAGATCATAATAACTGCACTGCCTAAAAGGCAGCATTGTCTCAGAAGTTCAAATGAGATATTTATAAATCGCTTTGCATACCTTAAAGCACAATGCTACTGTTATTGCCATAACAATAAGGAGTGAAAGGGGAACTCCTCCAGACACTAATGAATGTACAATGACCTTGGATCCTTGTGCCTGGTCCACTTCCTGGCAAAAAGTTGCACTTGCTGACTTGAATGGAAAGGAGATAAAGTACACCCCAGCTACACCCAAGAAAAGGGCAGAACAGAGCTGTTCTTTACAAGGCAATCATCACATAATCTCTTTTTCTAGTCCAACTTTCTGACTTTAATTATCAACTTGTTCAATTAATGAAGCAAACCAAGTCTTTCTGAATTGGTGTACTGACCTTTGTAATGGAAGGTCAACATGGAGTCCTGGCTAAAATATGCTCAAGGAAAATTTCATTGAGCTGCCCCAAATTCTCAGAAATATCGTTTCCTACTGAAATTCACTTGCCTGGCTTGTTAGCAAAACACTTCATTCCCTAATGGGAGGTGATTGTTTTGCACAAGTACCACCAAAAGAAAAGACTGTATTTATAACTGAAGGTTACCAAGCCTGGTTTTTAGCACCTATGCTACAAATGGGATAAGTTTAGTTAAACACCCATAAATCAAGTACATACGTAAAATCTATACCTGAACCCCTTTGTGGCAATGTTTCTCTAACTATGGCACTGAATCCATTAACAGCTCTGACTTCCAAAGGCAGATTATGGAGGCCACCATCCAATGCCATGATATAGCAAAGGGAGCGCTGGATTGGCATGCAGAAGACCTGAATTCATATCTTTGCCATGAATCCTGGCTAGGCTAAGCCACTTTTCCACTCTGTGCCTCAACTTCCTAACTTAGAAAATGAAGTGGTTGGACCTAGACCAAAGCTACCTTGCATTTGCTTTTATAAATATCTGTGTGTGTATGTGTGTATGTGTGTGTGTGTGTGTATCTGGATATATTGTCCCCCCATTACAATGTAAGCTCCTTAAGGACAGAGTTTGTTTCACTTTTGTCTTATATTCTCCGCACTCAGAGTAGTTTTGGGCACATAGAATGTGCTTGAGAAGTGCTTGTTGATTGAGTGATTGGTTGAGTAATTGCTGAAGGATCTCCACTGTCCATTCTAGCTCTAAATCTATGATCCTGTAAGTTCCATCAATAAACAGGAGCTGGAACACACCCACTATAGCAAATTAGAATTCAGTTCTTTGCTAAAAGTCTTTTTTTCTTTTGGTGTCAGTCTTCATTTGAGCAAAGCAAATTAAAACATCTGGAATTCAAGGCAGTATCACAGTGAAGGCAATGAGAGCAGAAGATGTCCTAAGACTGTAGAGATTAGGGCATTATGGCATGAAAAGAAGATGGAGACTTGGGTGGTTGGACTAGGTGATTTCTAGAGTTCCATGACTGGGATTCTTCCTTATGTCGAAAAGCCCTAAAGATCTGATAACAGAAAAGATTTGCTTATCTTTTAAAGATCTTTTTTTTTTTAGATTTAAAGGGTTATTTTCTCTTTAAAGCATGGTAGGAGCCTAGCTTCAGAGCCAAGAATGCCTGGGTTAAAAAAACCCTGTCTCTTACACATGTTGGCTCTGTGACCTTGGGTAAGTCACTTAACTTTTTTACGATCCAGACAACTCTTTAAGACGTAAGTTGCAGAGAAGGTGCTAACTATGAATGGTTCAGAAGGCTTCCTACACCAGTCATATCATAGGGGCGGGGAGCCTGCCTCCTGGAAGACACATGTAGCCTTCTAGGTCCTTGGATGCGGCCTTTTGACTGAGTCCAAGTTTTACAAAACAAATCCTTTTTATTAAGGGGATTTGTTCTGGGAAGTTTGGATTCAGTCAAAGGGCCACACTCAAGAACCTAGAGGACCACATGTGGCCTCAAGGCTGTAGGTTCCCCACCCCTGGCTCTAGATACTATTTTTTCCCTAATGGAGTTCAATTTAAAGGATGCTAAGAAAAAAATCCTTTAAAAATGCTATCTGGGGGTCCAAAGAATCATATTAGTGTTAAAGATTCTATTCCTGTTCAACATTTTTGAAGGTCAGGTAAGTATTAGATTACAAAGCACTGTATTCACTTATATTCTACCTGTGAGGAAAGACAGCCACAGTGTATTATTATCCCAAAATGCGAGCGTCAGCTATCCTAAGGCCTTCTGCAATGGGGTGAATGGATGCACACCCAATACTATGTGCATCAATCCAGTTGCATTAAGAATTCTTTTACATAGAATTAAGTCGTGTCTAGCAACTCCTGGATACCCTAAACACAGGCCATTAATAATTTCCTTTGGGATTCATCTCCTTCCTGGAGACCCCAAGTAAACTCTTTCTCATGCCAAAAAAAGAAAACACATCATTCACACACAAGCTCAAAAGATACAACCACAAGCTCTGATTTCAGTGGAAGACAATCCTAAAAAAACAAGCACAGAGACATAGGACATGTTACACAAGAAAGTCAATGCTAGAGGGGAAAACATGCCCTGAAATAGGAAGGTGACAGACAGTTTCTGTTTTTCTCACATTGTAGGTCAAACTGCAGTTCATTGTTGTTGTTTCTCCCCACTGTAAAAAGGTATTCTAATCAAGTGCAACAAACACCGTCAGAATATCAGCTATCTATCTACCAAGTATGTACATGCAGTCATTTTCAGTCGTGTCTGTCTCTTTGTGATCCCATCTGGGGTTTTCTCAGCAAAGATACTGGAGAGGTTTGCCATTTTCTTCTTCAGCTCATTTTACAGATGAGGAAACTGAGGCAAAAAGGGTTAAATGACTTGCCTAGGGTCACACAGCTAGTAAGTGTCTGAGGCTGGATTTGAACTCATGTGTCCCTGACTCTAGGCTATTCACTGGGCCTCCTAGCTCCCCTAGGTATGTACATACATACACACATATATACATACATAAATGACTGTCTATATACATTCAGTGGATTTAGGATTAGGCCAGAAAGTGACTGGAGTTTCTGTAGCCTATAATCACTTAGCCCCTGAAGGGCAATGTACCTTCTGAGAGTTGTAGAATATTTTAAGAAATGCTTTTAAAAAATTACAAAAGTTTCTATTCCATACTATGTTGGGAAGCATATTGTAAATAAAAAAGCTGACTGCCAGTGGCAGAGAGATCAAGTGGGATTCTGGTGGGTTTCAGACATGTCAGTACTTTCAATCTATTTCTTTAAAAAGTTGGCACATAGTTTATCAAGGGCCCTGCAGGTGTCACTTTGATATGAGGTTCATTGAATTTTTATCAATGCTACTACACTCATTCATGCTGATTTCACTAGGATTTTGAAATGAGAACCTAAATAAGTACATTCTATCATTCATGGGAATTTTTGGCATCTTGAAGTTTGGAGAGAGAAGAACTTCACTTTCTTTCTAGAAAAGAAAAGATGTAAAAGTAAAAGAACACCACTATAATAAACACTGAAACGACATGGAGTAGGTGGCACTGTATAATGGTAAGTTCAGTTTTCTAAATGAGAAGAAGGATGGATTTCTTAAAGGGCACTTGCACATTTAAATCACATATGAAAGTAAACTAAAGGGGGTAAGGGACACAAATGGTCACTGCCATCCATTTAGGTGGGGAAGGCAGCTTTCCCCTTGCATTGTTTTGTATTACTCTTTGCAGGTAGTTATGATCATATTTGTCTGATACAGTGGTGAAAGGGGGAAATCGCCTCCTTAGTACTCCAGCTCTTCCATGACTTCCATCACGATAGTCCGAGGGCCAGTCAGAATCAGATTGCTCACGGTCCGGTAGTCAACATGCAGGACGTTGAGACCATTCACAGAAACAACGAACTGACAGACCTGGGAAGACAAAGATAAAAAGTCCTTTTTTGAGATCAAGGCTCTTCACAAAAATTTATGGAGCTTTAAAAAGAAAAAAAATACATTTTATTTATATATATATATATATATACATACATGTATGTATATATGTATATGTGTGTGTGTGTGTGTGTGTGTATAAAACTCTTAAGAGACCTTAGGATAAGACATGCAGAGCTGGAAGAAGCTTAAGAAGCGACCCAGTACAACTCCTTCTTTTGACAGGTATGGAAACTGAGGTCTAGGGGGGTTAAGGGATTTGTCCAAGGTCATTAAGATAGTAAGCATCAAAGGCAGGATTTAGACCCAGCTCTTCTGGCCCCAAGGCCAGTGCTCTTTCCATTGGACCACTCTCATTTTCAAATTGTATGAAGTCATGGTATAGTGGATATAACACTAGACAGTATGGCAGTATGACTCAACCCTGTCATAGACAAGTATGATCATGGAAAAATCATTTAACCTCTTTTAGCCTCAGTTTCCACATCTATGAAATGGGAATAATTATAGCACCTACTTCACAGAGTTGTTGTAAGGTTTCAGTGAGGCAGTGTACATAAAGTAATCTGGAAATCTTAGTGTTTATATTGTCACTTACTTTATTATTATTAATTGATGACGACTCTTGTTTAATAATTAGTTAAAAAAACAAAACCATCCATCACTTTTTGAGGAGTCCAATGGACAGGAATGGGTATCTAAGGTTTTCTGACTTCTCACATGCACCTACACACAAATGGCTCAAGTTAATAAAAGTTATTCTTGCCTTCTCAATGGGTAGAGGAGAGAGCAGAGGGAAGGAAGGAGAAGATTTGGAACGGAAAACAAAATTTTTTTTAAAAAAAATTTTAAGTTAATAAAGGTTAGCTTCTCTAACTTTTATTAGCTTTATTAACAGCAGTTCATGTGAAATGACTAGAGTTTTTAGCTGACTTGTAAACTCTGTGAGTCAAGTAAAAGGGTACTTCAAATTTGTCAGCATTAATGAAGTCTGTTATTCATTACAAGGACTTTTGCAGTGATACTGTACCCTGCATTACCCAGACCACATCTGGAACCCCACTAAAAGCACTGGGCACCACATTCTGAGAGGGATAATCAACAGAGTGATGTATGCGCATCCAGAGGAGAATGTCTAAGATAGTAAAGAGACTTCTTGGTTTGTCCTTCTTTCTGGAAGAGGACCATGACATCAGGAAGATGGTACCATGACTTGCAAGGGAATTAGATTTAAGTGAGAGAAGGCTGTGCAAAGTCACTAGCTTCACTTTCTCCTTTGGAGTAATCTGAATCCAGTGGTGAGACACAGATCAGGACAACTGGAGATGGCCCAGAATATCGTCGGGAACCTTGGTCTTTTTCAGTAAAGGGACTTAAAACTAAGACAAATGAGGCATAGGTGAAGAGACTAAGAATATTTAGCCTTAGAGAAGAGAAGATTTAAGAAGGACATGACTGCTGTCTTAAAATATTTGATGGGTTGATAGGGAAGAGATCTTGGATACTTTGTGTGGTTTTCAAGAACAGAACTGAGGTTAAATTGAAGCAGATTTCAGTTGCACATAGAAGAGACTTAACAATTAGAGCCGCCTGAAAATGAAAACAGAGTGCTTGGTAAGGTACTGAGTGCCCTGTTACTGGACATGAGTCAACAGAGGCTGGATGACTACTTTTCAGTTAAAGAAGATTCCCGAGAGGGAGGAATACAGATGACTTATAACGTCTCTTCTACCTCTGAAATTGGTGACCACTTCAATCAAAGAATTAATCAATAAGTGCTTATTAAATCCCTAATAAGAATCATAGCTAGCATTTATAAAGCAATTTAGGGTTTGCAAAATTCTTTACATATACTAACTCATTTGATCCTCACAACAACTTTGGGAGGTGGATGTTATTATTATCTCCATTTTACAGATGAAGTGGTTGAGGGCAGAAGTTAAGTGACTGGTCTAGGATGCCATAGCTAGTAAGTATCTCAGGCAGGATTTGAACTCAGGTTTTTTTGACTTCAAGTACTGTACTCCATCTACTGTTCTACCTGTCCAGTACTATGTACCAAATACAAAAATTTTAAAAATCTCCATTCACAAGGAACTTGCATAACAGAGGATATATATATGTATATTATATACATGTGTATATATATATACATAATATATATACACAGACATAAAAAAGGGATGCAAAATAAATATGTAGAAATCAAAATCAGGAAAAGTCTTTTGTAGGCTGCAACATTTGAGCAGATCTTTGAGGGAAACTAGGGGTTCTAAGAGGGGAAAACAAGTAGGGGCTAGGTGGTGTAGTGGATAGAGCATCTGGCCTGGAGTCAAGAGGACTTGAGTTCAAATCCAGCCTCAGACACTTACTGGCTGTGTGACCCTGGACAAGTCACTTTACCTCTGTTTGTCTCAGTTTCCTCATCTGTCAAATGGGGATAATAATAGCACCTACTTCCTAGAGTTGTTGTGAGGATCAAATGAGATAATAATATCTGGCACAGAGTAAGTGTATGTAAATGTTAGCTGTCATTATTAATTGTTTGAGGAACACATTGTAGGATTAACAGAAAACCTATTAAAGAGCGAAAGAATGAAAGATGGAGTATCATGTATGCTGAGAACATGAAGAACAATGTATAATAATTCTGAAAAGGTACATTGATGCCAAATCACAAACAATATAAAGAAGAGTTTAAATTTGATTCCAAAGGCAATAGGGAGCCACTGACATTTACTAAACTCCTGTGACCGTTGTTCAGTCCTTTCTGATGCTTCATGACCCCATCTGGGGTTTTCTTGGCAAAGGTACTGAAGTGGTTTGCCATTTCCTTCTCCTGCTCATTTGACAGATAAGGAAACTGAGGCAAACAAGGTGAAGTGACTTGCCCAGGGTCACACAGCTAGTAAGCGTCTGAACTTAGAAAGATGACTCTTTCTGACTCTTGGCCCAGTCCTCTATCCATTGCGCCACCTCGCTGACCCAAGTTCCTATGACTATTTGTACTTAATACATTGCTATTAAAAGCTGAGGAAGTTTAAACAAGGAATGTCACTAGAAAATGGCCATTAAGATTAGGTATTTCACAGCTAAAGCACTAGGATCAACTACCAAAAAAAAAGTATCTCTGCTGTCATCAGTGACAGTATTTCGCTTTCTAGGTGTCCAGTGCCAATGGTGATCTGGCCCTTTTCTTTTCACCGAAAATTCACACATTAGTTCCTGTTTGGGTAGAAAGTTTGCAGAGATCCTTTCAAATTCTCAAACGTGACACTTGTCAGTGGCCTGAGGTCTTGCTGGTGTGCAGACAGTATTTCACCACAGTGCTAGATGACCTTGCCTGCAAGTGATTTCTACCATCATTATACCACAAAGGCAACAAGACAAATAGGCAGTCTAATTGCCAGCAACTGGGATGCCCACTTAGCAAGACACACACACACACACACACACACACACACACACACACACACACACA